GGGCTTGGCCCCTTAGTTCCATTGAAGGGAACTCTTAAGACATCAGCATACCAAGACATTTTGGACAATTTCATGCTCCCAACTTTGTGGGAGGAGTTTGGGGATGGCCCCTCCCTGTTCCAACATGACTGCGCACCAGTGCACTGAGTAAGGTCCATAAAGACATGGATGGGGGGGGTTTGTGGTGGAGGAACGTGATTGGCCTGCACAGAGTCCTGACCTCAACCCGATAGAACACCTTTGGGATGAATTAGAGCGGAGACTGCGAGCCCGGCCTTCTCCTCCAACATCAGTACCTGACCTCACAAATGGTCCAACATTCCCATAGACACACTCCTAAACCTTGTGGACGCCTTCCCAGAAGAGTTGAAGCTGTTATAGCGGCAAAGGGCAGGCCAACCCAATACTGAACCCTACGGACTAAGACTGGGGGGCCATTAAAGTTCATGTGCATGTAAAGGCCGTCCCAATACTTTTGGTAATATGGTGTATCTAAGGATACTTTTTAGACAGGACATGGTAAATGGCACTGCTAAAACTCCTATTCGGTACTGGAGGCAGCCATTGGGTGTAATTTTTTCATGATGCAAGTGCTGCTTTCTAGAAGTTGAGCAGCAGCTTTTAGTAATTGATCAATGGCATGTTTAATGACACTTCATCCGGCTTCCATTTGTGACTAAGAGCACAAGAATGCTAATAGTGGCTGCTATTGTGATGCAACTGGTGTGCCGCTGCCCTCTGCTGGTGGCATTGGGCATTGCAGTGATCTCCGTTATGCTGCCCTCTACTGGTCACAAGTGGTTTCAACTGTTTTATATGGCTGCTGGCTGGTTTTATCATGAAACTTTATTATATAATTTTCTCATTATTTGCAAAACCTTTATTTCACAGTCTGCGTACATGCAGGCAGATGGTTTGTAAACCATTCTGTGTTTTGTAATAGGAAATCATTTCTGCATTAGCTGCTCCTTGCGTCTCCTTCTCCTTAAGGCAGAGCTGTATGAACTAGAGCAGTGATGGACAACTATAGAGGGCCTCAAATGCCACCCACAGCACTTTAAAAGGGCCGCGCATAAGCAGCACATTTTAATGCGTTGAGATGCATTGCCTCAAGTCAGGCGGTCCATTCAAAATGAATAAACTGTAATGCACCTCATTGCCGGAATATTTTAGTTGTGCTGCTTTTTTTATACAGTGTTACCTCAATGAGTGTTCACTCTAAAGAAAAAGTGGGTATAAGATAAGCCCATTCATTGGTGGCAGTAATAATAACCCCCCCGCTGCCCTCTGGTGTCCAACAGGTGGCATACTCATCCCTGTACATGGCGGGCCGTGTGTTGGGCTGCAGGGGACCAGAGACAGAACATTGGGGGGCTTTACTATTCACAAGAACTCTCCACGCTCCTTCTCTAACCACTCTGTTCCTCTTGTATTTTGCAGACAAGGGTGCGTTGCACAAGGTGGTCCTTGTCAAGGATGGCACAGAGTCGCATATTATTGAAGAGCTGAGGCTGCTGAAAGAGCCGGAGCCCATTAAAACTCTTCTGCTGGAACCAAGCAAGGTAAGACCCCAAAAAGGTACAAAGACCTTTACAAAGAATGGTCAAAGGTACAAAGAATGGTCAAATGTCCCAAAAACACAGCCATGCGCCATTTTTGGCATTGCAGCGATCTCCTCCTCTTCCTCCGCCCGATGTTCACGATCAGATCCCGGCCAGTCTGACTCTTATCTCCTCTTGCAGAAGATCCTGTACGTGGGCACGACGGACGGCATCCTCCAGGTGCCCGTGGCCAATTGTAGCGTATACAGAACCTGCTTCGAGTGCGTCCTGGCCCGAGACCCGTACTGCGCCTGGAACAAGAATGACAATCAATGTCAGAGCCTCCCGGCCAATCCCAGTACTGCGTAAGTAAAGCTTTGCCAGGAACGCGCTGCCAACGACTCAGAGGCCTGCACTGGACCTCACACCGCCGGTCGGCCTTCGCCATGTACGATTGTTCAGCTACTTACTGTATGGGTTTAGAATGCATCTAACATAGCTCCTCCCTCTTTGGGAGATTGCAGATGCCTTTCTATTTGAAGGGATATGTAGCTCGGGAACCCTTCAGTCGTCCTGGTGTGCCTATCCAATAGTATTGGAATGCTCTATACACCGGGTGTCTGGATTCTGGGCTAGTGGCCTCTACACATCAATGAATTCCCACAGTCACCTTGGTTTGTAATGTAACCATATGAATCTGAGATTGAAGCCGCACAACACAGAGTTATTAGTCCGGATACAAATGTATTACATTGTAAAATCAGGAGGAACGCTACACAAGCCAACGCGTTTTTGTCTATGGTCTGGACTGAGGATACAATGTATATGGACTAGGCTGAGGATACAATGTATATGGGGTGGACTGAAGATACAATGTATATGGGGTGGACTGAAGATACAATGTATATGGGGTGGACTGAAGATACAATGTATATGGGGTGGACTGAAGATACAATGTATATGGGGTGGACTGAAGATACAATGTATATGGGGTGGACTGAAGATACAATGTATATGGGGTGGACTGAAGATACAATGTATATGGGGTGGACTGAAGATACAATGTATATGGGGTGGACTGAAGATACAATGTATATGGGGTGGACTGAAGATACAATGTATATGGGGTGGACTGAAGATACAATGTATATGGGGTGGACTGAAGATACAATGTATATGGGGTGGACTGAAGATACAATGTATATGGGGTGGACTGAAGATACAATGTATATGGGGTGGACTGAAGATACAATGTATATGGGGTGGACTGAAGATACAATGTATATGGGGTGGACTGAAGATACAATGTATATGGGGTGGACTGAAGATACAATGTATATGGGGTGGACTGAAGATACAATGTATATGGGGTGGACTGAAGATACAATGTATATGGGGTGGACTGAAGATACAATGTATATGGGGTGGACTGAAGATACAATGTATATGGGGTGGACTGAGGATACAATGTATATGGACTAGGCTGAGAATACAATGTATATGGACTTGGTTGAGCATACAATGTATATGGGGTGGACTGAGGATACAATGTATATGGACTAGGCTGAGGATACAATGTATATGGGGTGGATAGAGGATACAATGTATATGGACTAGGCTGAGGATACAATGTATATGGACTAGGCTGAGGATACAATGTATATGGACTAGGCTGAGGATACAATGTATATGGACTAGACTGAGGATACAATGTATATGGACTAGGCTGAGGATACAATGTATATGGACTAGGCTGAGGATACAATGTATATGGACTAGGCTGAGGATACAATGTATATGGGGTGGACTGAGGATACAATGTATATGGACTAGGCTGAGGATACAATGTATATGGACTAGGCTGAGGATACAATGTATATGGACTAGGCTGAGGATACAATGTATATGGACTAGGCTGAGGATACAATGTATATGGGGTGGACTGAGGATACAATGTATATGGACTAGGCTGAGGATACAATGTATATGGACTAGGCTGAGGATACAATGTATATGGGGTGGACTGAGGATACAATGTATATGGACTAGGCTGAGAATACAATGTATATGGACTTGGTTGAGCATACAATGTATATGGGGTGGACTGAGGATACAATGTATATGGACTAGGCTGAGGATACAATGTATATGGGGTGGATAGAGGATACAATGTATATGGACTAGGCTGAGGATACAATGTATATGGACTAGACTGAGGATACAATGTATATGGACTAGGCTGAGGATACAATGTATATGGACTAGGCTGAGGATACAATGTATATGGACTAGATTGAGGATGCAATGTATATGGACTAGATTCAGGATACAATGTATATGGACTAGATTGAGGATACAATGTATATGGACTAGATTGAGGATACAATGTATATGGACTAGATTGTTTCCTCAATCTAGTCCATATACATTGTATCCTCAATCCACCCCATATACATTGTATACTCAATGTATATATACTGGATTGAGGATATAGGTCCCCCCCCAAAATATTGACCATGTCTACTTACCCTCTCCAAGTTGCAGAGCTCTCCCTGAGTTCCTCCTTGATCCAGCACTAGCTTCAGTGCAGAATGACATTTACATTCTGGAAGCCCAGCCTGACCATTCCACAGCCCATGGGGGCGCGTCACCACACAGGCTGGGCTCACAGTACTCCAGGGCTAAGTGGTCATTACGTGAGCACTGCTCAGCCCTGGAAGAATTTCCCCCCACCCTCCTCCAATGGAAGAAGGGGCAGCAGCTGCGGTGAAGGAACCTCCAAATCATATATCTTCTCTTCTTCTAGAGAATGGCTACAAGATATCGAGATGGGCAACCCGAACACCACGTGCTTAAGCCCCCCACCAAAAGGCAGATCGCCGCGACCAGGCCAGGACTTGGACAACCCGCCGCTGCGAGGTGAGCCAACATACGACATGAACGCTATTTATAAAGAGCTCATTTGTACTTGTTTCTGTGTCACAGTGAATATTAAACAAAAATGGCTGCCGCCACTGATCTCCTCGTGCAGCAACATTGCCCACTCTAATCCCCGACTCGGTTTCTCAAAATATTGGCTCATACGCACAAAAAGGTGGTTTACCTGCCACTTTTAGGGTCCATTCGCCCCAGCTTGGTCCGCTATGGTGCGTTTAAATGGATGAGTGTTAACATACATTGTGTTAGGGCAGCCCGTTCATTTAAATGGGTGGCCTAATGCACCAAAGCAGACCAAAAATTGTGCCCACAGCATTTGTTGCAGTGCTCGTCTGTTGGCAAGTTGCTTTGGGGCGCCATTTAGAAAACACGCCACCACATCGCACCAAAGCATGTGACATGCGTTACCGCAGCGTGATACTGTGACTAGACCCTCAAAGAGAGAGAGTATATATTTATTTATTGCTAATGAATAAAATGCTTCATATCTTGCAGTGAAGTGCCGTCATTCCTCCTAATTATTTAAATGATACAGTGATTACAGTGCCATGATACCCCCACCCCACCCCACCCCATAATTCGACAATTTAAAAAAACCGATGCCACTAATTCATAACATGCCATCAATACAGTATATTAGGGTCCTATCACCTAATATTACAATTCAATTAATGTATCAGGGCCGTATCACCTAAATAATAATGCTTGAATAACCGACTCCCCC